AGGCTCTGTGTTCGATGCGCTGGTAGGCACGAGAGATTAAAATGGACTTGACTAGGCATTAATGAACTTAAGGAATTCATAGACTTAACAAATTTTAACCTAGTTAAATCCGTTTAGCCTGACAATACGACGCTCGGATAGGTTATCCGTTTAGCCTGACAATACGACGCTCGGATAGGTTGAGCAGGGAGATATATATGGGAATCTACTGGTCATATTAAAGAACTCGTATCTGGAACTGTGGATTAACTTTTCCTCGATGTGCGGATTATGTCCTTAATCCCGGTATTGATGGGGTGACTGGTGAATTCCGATAAAATTAGGTCTGTAGAAGGTTATATTCTTTCTTTCTATCTGTTAGTCATATGTTGCCTCCTCTGCGTGATCGAAAGATCCGACTTGGAATGTAGCATATGCAACTCTATCTCTCTGCATCTTCTATCTATGCAATTCTTTCTATCTGTTAGCCATATACTGTCTCCTTTGCGTGACTCACAATCCGACCTGGTACACAGTATATGCATCATTCTTTTTCTCAATCCCTCTAAAACTTCAGTTAGTCATATGTTTCACCCTCTGCGAGATTGGAAGAGATCCGACCTGGGTGTATAGCATATGCATTCTAAATCTATCTTCTCTCTTAATAATTGTCTGCTCACCCGATGTAAGGAGTATTCTGAAAGTCCTTGATTACTGGAGCATATCAGGAAGCGGGAAACATGTTCTGATACAACTAAAACTGAACACTTACAGATTGTCTGTAGATCTCGCTGCTCAATTTAGGTGGAAAACAATATCTTTGGTCGTCGTCAGCTGAATGGTCCCTAAGGAATATTATCTAGGAACTTAGGATCACATTGTCTTGTCACTTATAGTATGTCCTAATTTTGTCACAATCTCTCGTGTTTAAGTGGACCACAATACAGGCGATTGACCAGATCTATTCATGAAGGGAGAGGTACTGATAAACGGATAAAGGCTGTTTAAAAACTTTGATCCCAAATCACTCTTAAAGTTAGATATCATTTTATTTTTGTTAAATTTGTTCATAGTTTTCTTCTAATTTAAATATTATGGGAGAATTAAAAATTAAAAAAAAAACAAAAATCAGAAAATTAAAAATCCAAAAATAGTGTTATTTCTGTTTTATTTCTTTTTCAGAAAATATGAAAAATCCAAAAATATTGTGTGCTAAAATTTTCTTTTAGTTTTGTTTTGTCTTGAATAGTGAATTCAGGTGAAGATGAAACTAATGGAAGTTTGTGTCGAAGATTTCTGAGCCAAGGCTTCATCCGTGATCATCGAAGAATTCTCATTCGAAGGAGCAAGAAATGAAGATTATTCTTTCGACATTCAATCTTTCAACCCCAGAAGCAAGGAGAAGCTGAAATTGAAGAATATGTGACAGATTGCATTGAAGCCTCCTCAATCAGTCTGCTGCTATCTTGAACCTGCTGAAGTGATCCAGAAGATTTGTTCTCTCCGATGTTCTCTCTGAAGATTCTCAAACTGAAAGCATTATCTTTCAAGAATCAGTACAAAAAGCCTCCTCACCCAATGTGCGTTCAATGTCAAATTCTGAAGAAAAGCCCAACTGCTCAAGATGAAGTCATTCATTGAAGATTCATCAAGTTCATCTTGAAGTTGTGAAGAATTTGAAGATTAAAGTTGAAGCCAAAGCTCCCAATGAAAAATTAACAAGAAAAGAAAGCTATAAACCAAGGGGGAGATTGTTGGGTCAAAAATATGGTTTATACTTTGCTTTTCTAGGAAAATGTATTTTTATGTCTAGGACCGTAAACAACTCAGTGTTTACGGTCATATATGTGTTTACGGTTAGGTTTACGGTCAGGTAGTGTTTACGGCCGTAAACAGGTTTACGGCCCAATGGGTGTTTACGACCGTAAACCCATTTACGGCCGTAAACCCAGTTTGCGGCCCAGTCGAGTATATATAGGGGTGAGGGGTGTGAGGAATAGATTGATGAACAGAAGAGAGTGTACGGAATAGAGAGAAGAGAGTGTGTGTTAGTGTGTGTGAATCTTGTAAGGGAACTTCATTCTAATCAATACTATACAAGATTCATATTATTCTTCTTCTCCTTCTCTTCTATTTGATCTGCATCATCCGTTTGATTGGGATTCCGCACCATCAAACGGATCTGATTGATACACAAGCAGATTAGGGACTTACAGAAATACCAAACAGGACCTTAATGTGTCAGACGTTGGTGAGGGAGATGCAATGATAGACATAGTTGGATCCACGGTGGTATACTAACAGAAAATTTTTATTGGTTTAAGTTTTAATAGCTACGATGTCAGAGTTTAAATTTAAATCGCTCTTTGTGGGTATTATGCCTTTATGAATCCCAAAGCCAAATTCATATGGGTCGTGTACTCTCAAGACCCTCACAAGTCACTTTGTCCTAACTTTTACGTTTGAGGTTGCATTCGCTTTTCGTCATCTTCATTAGTTATTATAAGATGAATAAGGATCATAAAAGGAGTTACTTGATCTTGTAAATAGTGTGATCATGTAAAGACATTTTGTTTATTTTAGTAAACAATGTTGTATTCATTCGATGGTGATCGAAAGAGTAACGTGTAGTAGAAGTGGTGTTGACTAATCTTTTGAGGTGAGATTATCGGGACTACACACACACACACACACACATATATATATATATATATATATATATATATATATGATTCTCTTAGTTTGGTTTTTCATATATATTATGTACAAACCCTTACTTGCAATATGAATTATATGAGTACTGTTTGCATTCATGAAATCATTTTCTAAAATGATATTTGTTTGATAAAAGCTAATTACTTTTTTATAAATGGTTATGAGAAAACCTACTTTTTGCATACATGCTAGTATGGGTTAACTGAGAGATCACAGGTACTCAATTTGGACATTTTTTTTTGTAAGTAGATTTCTAGATAATCATCACTTACACAAGTAGAGGCTAGCCGACCCATGTGTGGGTTAGGGTTGATGACCCCCTGGTACTAGTTTTGATCTTAGGCAAAAGTCGAGTGGTAATTCGCCACTCGCGAGTCTAAGGCTTGAGATAAAAGTCGGCAGTTCACGATTCGTGAATATCAAGTTAAACCATCTATTTTGGCGAGTTAGACTTTTTGATATTGAGAATGGTTTAAGAATAGTTGCATGCATTGCATATTTGTGTATTATTTCCTTATTTACCCTTTTTGGGAGTTTTGATATAATCTTGTAAACCTTTGCTAATCAAGTTTAGCCTTTTTGATATATTTTGGAATTACGTTGGGATGATAATATTTCACAACTGAATCTTTTAAAAACTACATTCATAGATCTTTGGGGTGATAACATTGTTATGAATGACCTGTTGGACAACTCTATTGTGGAGTTTCTCAACATCTAACGTAAAGAAACCAAATGTATCAAATGTGCATTGTATAAACACATGTTGATTTTCCATACACGTTTGTTCATGCTTTTTCATTTTGTATGAATCGACTTTTAAAGCAATCTACCCCATGCTGAAAGCCTCTCTCCTCGAGCAAACGAAAGAAGAGAGGAAACTCCTGTTATATTCATACAAATATATTTCCTTTTTGTCCATCATAGACTCAAAATTTATATTTATTTTGAGAAAACCACAATTTCCCTATGTAGAAAAACCTATTCATTTATCGTTTTTTAAAAATATATCTAGAAAGACCAAGAATCTATGTATAGAACAAAAGTTATTATTTGAAAAACGTGAAATAAGATATTTAAATTATTATTTATACATCATTTTGAATTTAATTTCAATTTTTTAAAACATATGCACTATGCGTCTCCAAATAATTTTCATTTTTAAATAACTTTCCAATCACTCTTACCATCAATTTTTTTTCTCCAATTCATTATTGTACTATGTTTAAACCAGTGGAAACCACAGATGTCTTGCAAGTTCATACTTTCACACAAAAAAAACTAGGGAAATTGTTAGAAAAGTCCCAATATTTTCAGAAAAGTTATACTTTAGTTCTAAAATTTTTTTTTTAATATAAAAGTCTCGATTATTTGTAAAAACATGATAATATGTCATTTCATGTTAAAATTAAAAAAAAGGATTTTTTTTGACACGTATCATTTTAATTTTTTGGATTTATTGTTTTTTCCACTTGTCAGTTTATGGTTTTTTCCATTTTATTAAATTTCACATAATTAGTAATGTAATAATTGTAATAAATATAATAATAAATGCATGTTTATTTAATTAATGCAAGTTTCCTTTTAATTTCTAAGTTTCTAAATTTAATCTAATTATTTTTATTTATTTATATTATTTGTTTAAATTTAAAAGAGAAATAAAAAAAAAGTTAAAAATAACAAATTAAACATTACATTTAAATAATTCAATATTTTTCTTTCTTTCTTTATAAATTCAAACTTCCTAAATTTATAAATATTAATATATTTTCAATAAACTCATGTAATAGACAAATTTTACAAATAATAGACGAACTTTTTGCGATTATTTTTGTAACACTTTGCTCATAGACAAATATATCTTCAATTTTATTGTCATCTCCGATCAATTTATTATTATAAATAATTTCTTAGAAAATGCAATAAAGCAATTCAGATTTTGTTTTAATCATCATCAAAACAAAAGATTGGGACAAATGCAACAACAAAGTGTGTGGTCGCTCGTGCATACATATGCATGTATGGAAATACCGAGCCCTTAGTTTTAATGACTTAAAAGATGTGTGAACTTTTAAATGTTTGATTTTAAAGATAAATGTGTGATTTTAGATGCGTGAATCTTTTAAATGTTTGCTTTTAAACACAAATGTTTGATACATGCATACATATGCAACAGAAGTAACAGAAAAACGACATTCAATCTTCATCAACGAGATTAGAAATGGATTTGATTTCTTGTATTTAAAACCCAAAACAGAAGCCACTCATCTAACAAGCGATTTGCCTATTGTAATTTGTAAGATTTAAAAGACACATTTTATTGATACTATGAATTGGAGTTTAAACTTTTCAATTTGTACCCTATGACTAAAGATACATACGTATAGATCGTGGAAACTAAAAACCCTAAAACATGCTCTACAATCCACTCTTTTCTACCACTATAACTCGAGGAAAATACAATTATACATACAAAATAAAATAAAGGATGAGAGTTGGGGATTAGGGTTTGTTATGTTGATTTTCAAAATACCCTTTTTCCCATTTCTCAACTTGTAATATGGAGTTGGCTTTTCTTCTAAGAATAGATTTTAACGCTTGAGGTTCATATGGTGGTGGCATAGTGCATGGACTCACTTGTGAAGAAGGGCCTTTGACCATGGATTCCATCATGAATTCCTTCTCAAACCCCTTTGAACCACAAGCCATTGCTTCTGAACAAAGCTCAACTGCTTTTTCAGGTATTGTGGGCTTGTATTTTAATAGCTTTGAGTATTCGGTTAAAAGATGGAACATGTAGTCATACACCTTTTCCATTTTCAACTCCTCTTGTATAAAACTACTCGCTGTTTTTCCTATCTCTTGTGCCTGTCAATGCCATCATAAAAAAAGAGATTAGTGTTTGATGTAACTAACGGGTGTATTATTAATTATTATTACCTTTTTTTTATGTGTGTTGCCCCAATCAACTGCAAACTTAATGGATCTACATTTGTCATTTTCTTTAATAGGCCAATAATGGTGAACAGGCATTAAACCTCGTGTAAAAAAGTCATAGTAACGTGGCTTCACTATAAAAGTCACTGAGTCACAAGCAAGAATGTATTTATCACTCACGGACCATGCGGACCCCTCGATATAAATCTTGTATCTGTTAATAAATAAAACAAAATTCATCAAATACATATCATAACAATGATATTGAAAAGAAAATAAATATATATTATTAATATTCTCTTGCCTATGAATACACTGGCTGGCCAAATCTGATTGCTTGAAACCTTGCTGTGATTCTTTAAACCAATCCTGAAAAGAATCATCAACAATTGTTTAATTCAAATCATTGTGTGTATGATTACTGATTATAATAAGAATTTGAGTAAATTACACTTTTGGTCCCTGGGTATAGTTGATTTTTTGCGATTTTGGTCCTAATCAGTTTTCAATTGCAATTGAGTATATTACATTTTTGGTCCCCGAGCATATCTGAGTTTTTCAGCCATATGGGGACCGAAAGTAGTCATTTTTCTTAGAATTTGGACAAAAAAAATGTTAAAAGAACCTCAAATAAGGACCAAAGTTGCAAAAACCAGTTATACTCAGGGACCAAAACTGTAATTTACTCTAAGAACTAATTTAATAGCTGTGAAAGAAATTAAACCTGGGCATAGACCCGGGCATTCCAGTCCTGTTTTTCAGAGACATTGCATTTGAGAAGATCCATTCGGGTTTCAGCAACAATTGGATTACCTTTCCAGTAAGCATATGGTTCCCTATCTATCCATTTACTCCTTGTGTTTCCTTCATTTAGCTCTTTCAACAAAGATCCCCATGGCTTTATATTAATTTCCGGCCTGCAAAAGAGTCTCTAATTTATGAATTCATTCAACTTCAAGATTATTATAAAACATGATAAAAAGGGGCTTATACTTTATACTTTATACTTTATGAGGTAACTAAGTAACTTAGTAACTTACCACCCCCAAAAGGACCAATCTGGGAAAACAATGTCCAGAGTGGAATCATCACTGCAGTAACGAAACAATGGTGGTGGAGCAACTGCATTAGGGCCACGATAGTACTTCTTCAAGATGACTGGCCAGTCAACGCAGTCAAACATGAGGTCCAAATCCGGGACCTTTCCAGGGTATTTTCGTAATAGTTGCAGGATCCCCCAAAGAGTGAAAACATCTCTAGATTGAAATGACTTCTGATATGTTTCAACGTATGCTCTTCCGTTTGATATCACTAGACGAAAATTTGCAGTCCTTTTTGCCCTTTCCACCATATCTTCTGTGATTCCAGTCTCTTTCCATGCCTTTAGATCCTCATGAATCCAACGAAAGTATTCTGGACACTCGTGTGGTGGGTCGGATATGTATTCTTGATCTTGTATTTTGAATGTTTTTGGGTAGTAGTCAGCTGGGCATGTTCTTGTGAGATTGCCTGAAGAGCATTTCAGTGGAATCTCTATTATCTTGGGAGGTTTTGAAGGAATTACTTGAGTTATGGTAGGTTCAATGTGCACAGTTTTGGTAGTTTGGACTGAATTCCGAGAGGGATTTTCAGCTATTGACTGTAACATGGAAGATCAAACACGGAACAATATTAGATTCAAATATGTGTTTCAAAATTTCAATCCATTAGTCATTTTAATATGGAATTCTAATGAGGAAATGTAGCATCCTGTCCCTTCTATTAGCAAATTAGTTGTGTGTTTTCTCTCAAGATCCAACACATTATTGACATTCTTGATTCAAAAATGGGACCTAGATTTCCAACAACCATGTTTATGATGAACTAATAAGAAAGCTTACTTAGTTTTGATAGAATTACATAATATGATTAGTATATTTTGTACAAGACAAAGGGGCAGAAACGCAGAATTATCAGTTATGTACTATCAATTCACTTTATACTAAAGTAGAACTGTAGGTGCCGACATCTCCATATGTGGGACCGGAGAAAGGACGCGTATAAAAACCGACGAGTTTTACGTGGAGCTGAATTCACGGCGAATGCAACGTGTTCATTTAACTTCCCAAGAGGAATCTGGTATTACTACGTCGTTTTATCCATCACAACTTTGGCGTTTCCACTACAGATTTAAAAAAAAAAAGAGAGAGAGAGAGAGAGAGAGAGAAATTCAAAAGCATAAGTCGGTCGGAATCGGAGTCGGAGAGGGAGACTTACGGAGCCGGTAGCGTCTAGCAAGCGAGTGGAAAGCAAGAGTCCGACGAAGATGAATATGAGGAAGAAGAGTAGTCGAACAGAGGATCTAGAAGTTGCTGTCATGACGGCGGATAATAGTGGATGCCAGATCGTGTCTGAGAAATATCTGTAGAATCGTTTAGATCTCGATCCCCAAACGGAATTGCTACTCCCTTCGTCATACCAATCACGCTGCATCTTCAACCAAATCTAAATGTGTCTCGTCGACTCTGAGCTAAAACTGTTGTTGTTGGATTCTAGTGAGCTCCGAGATTCGGTGGTGATTTTAGTAGGATTGAATCAGAATGGATGTCAGTGTGTTGTTAGACTACTTTACAGAGTAGAGGAGGGAGGAAGGCGTTTTAACTTTTGTAGACCAGGGTTTTGGAAAAAAGAAGACACAGAGAAGGAAACAAAACCCGAGGTCCCGAGTCGCCGGGTTGAGACTTTTCTTCCGGGGTTTTTGTAGTGTTGTACCATTCTCTCTCTACAACCAAAATTCAAAATACTTTGTTTCTCTACATTTGGGAAATACTTTTTTTAATAAATATAGATAATTAAAATTATACGATTATCATATGCCATTATGATTAACTGCTTATACACAAAATAATTTGACATGAAAAATGGGAAATTAGCTAAAAGTAACCATTGTGATCTGTATTTAAAGAAAATTCTCAAAAGAAAAAATTTGTCAAAAAAACTAACAAGTTTGGAAAGAGGCGATCCAGACAAAAAAAAAAAAAAAAAACATTTTTCTCTGAAAAAAAAAAGTATTTCGGACTGATATTTTGGATTTCAAACTGATATTTTGGATTTCAAACTGAAATTTCGAAGATCAGAAAAAAAATAAAAAATAAAATTAACTTCAGAATTTTCAAAAACAAGTTTCAAAGAATTAGTTTTGTCATTCAGAAAGGGCTAGCGACGCAACTTATTACTCGTTTGTCTTCCGTCGATATGTATTAACATTTTTTATCATTAAAGTATTTCAATGTGTTTTATTTTATGTAAAAAAAAATTTGAATTCTAATAAACAATTGTGGATGTTTGAGATAAAAGTTTATTTTTTTACAAATAGTTAAACAAATATAGTAAATAAGAAGTTTATAAGACATGAGAGCTTGTAATTAAACGGTAATAATATACTTCACACCATACATTTTAGATATAAATAAAGAGACTTTTTGAAGAAAAAAGTTGCAAAAATAAAAAAGACCAACTCCGAATTTTGAGTCAAAAATAAAGTAATCGGGAGAAAATGACATTTAAAAAAAATATGAAAAATAGTAATCTTTAAAAAAAACTCATTAAAAGAGTGATATATAATAGATTTTGATATAAAGCAACATAACTAACTAATACATTTATCTTGGGTGTGAAACATTTACCACATGTACAATGGTTATAAAAGTATGTCATCATGGTAATATAATAAAAAGGTTTACGATAAAAAAATAAATCTTGTGTTAAATATGTTTATTCCTCGTGCAACACTGTTTTATGAGTATAATCTTTTTGATTTTCCGTAAAACTTCTCACCATGCATTAACAAATTAATATCGTTACTCGTTAATAACTCTCAAAACAACACATTTTGATATTTTGGTTTGATTGAGGGGTTGGATATTCTATCAATGTGAGACATGTATGGTCTTTGGATCATATACCAATTATGATGACATATGTCTGATGCTTACTATCAAAACTCATTTTGAAATGCTTACTGATAACGTATCTCTTGGCGCGCACCAAGGAACACCGGATAAGACACCTTTGGGACCATCGGGTTGTCCAGATCTCTCCCAGTAACAGCTGAAAACGGCTAAGCTCCGTGCCCACGGTCGTTCGCTCCGTACTAGCAAGATTGTGTGAGTCACTATTGTCCACCACACAATCCCCTTGCGACGGAAGACAATTATCCTAAGCGACAACGGTAATGCTCAGAGCATTAATACATAAGCCAATCCCGAGCTCTGACACAGAGAAGAGCACGATCATCCAATCAGTGCATCTGTAAGGTCCCACCAATATCAAGGTAAAAATTTTCATTTTTAATATAATCAAAATACCAATTATCTTTTACTCAAACATTTAAAAGTATATCATAATAAAGTAGTTATCAGAGTACAATCCCAAAATCACTAAGTTGCGGAAAACATGGGTGTATGTGCTGCGATCAAGCCGGGCCCTTCCCTTCGAACCGGAAGTACCTGAAACCATAAACAACAACTGTAAGCACAAAGTTTACTGAGTTCCCCAAAATACCACATACCATACATATCAAACATATCATACACATCATACATGCAATAGAAGGTGATATGTGCCAACCATAGTCATGTCATTATCCCACGAGCCGCACCGTGGTCTTTCCTTGTCAGGTCAGGGGGCAAACACCCTGGATCTCATAGACAAGTGACAGGATCCACCTCCTGGTCTTCGATACAAGCATCACAAAGACAACTAGCATACACTCTACAAATAACTATCTACTTAACTGCCATGGTCCAAACAACGGTCTCGCATTTGGATTTGTCAGGAGCCACCTCTGGGTTTTTCATACAAATGCCAAGGGCCACCCCCTGGTCTTCCAATAACATAAGCCAATGGGCCGACATTGGTGCCTTCGACCCATAGTACAGTGAGGAGATTCACCTCAGACAGCTAAAACCCACGAATAAATCTGACTACAGAACGGCTAAAAATCCATGCGCTATCAATCACAAATAACATCAAATTAATAATTGGGTCCCGACTCGCACTAAGAGTCCAAATTAGGGTAAAAGACCTTTTTAACCTTCCTCTAACTTGGCACAAAGCCAAGGCCCAATCTAATTGTCCAAAAGCCAAAATAATCATCTGCAACCCAAAATATAGCCCAGTTTTCCAAATTGGGCCAAAAATAATCAGCGTACTGCTTAAAGGGTGTGTATGCGCAGCGTACATGCTTGTACGTCCAAGCTCAGATTTGACTTCCTTAAGGTGGTTAATCACATAAAGTTGTCAACTTTATGTGCATACATGGCTTAATGAAGCTCTTAAAGCTCAAAAGGACTTAATAGATGACTTAATGCATGCATGAGGCCAAAAGCACCATAAAGCTTTCACCTTTAAGCTAAAGACACTCATAATATGCCCAGAACTAAAAGGATAAACCCCATAAACGACTTAACTTATCAAACCACCCAAAAAGGGACCAAAATCCTAAAAACCAATACATGAAGAGATCTAATCAAACAAGGATCAAGGTTGGGACTTTATACCTCAAAAGTCACCGAAAGGTGGAGCTAATTCTGGATCTCCAAGCTTCCTTCCAATGAATGAATCTTCAAGCTTCTTCTTTCCCCTCAAGGTGCACAAAATCCCCCACAAGGCCTCACAAGAGCTCAAAGCACCACCCAATGGCCAAGGAACGAATTACGGTTTTTAAGATGTGGAACCTGGCTAAGAAATTATCAAAAGAGGCTAACATATGGCTTATATAGGGTGCAACATCTCAAAACTAGGGTTTCATTAAACCTTCGTATGCCCAACGTAATCCTCGTACGCCCAGCGTACGAGGCCTCGGTCCCGCGATCAATCCCTGTTAGTACGCTAAGCGTACACCAGTGCACGCCCCACATACTGAACTTTGCACTAGTACTTCCTGCGTACTTCCTATGTACGCCCCACGTACTAGGGTTATCCTTAAACCCTATAACCCTTCGAATGCCATAACTTCTTCATTATAAATCCGATTTCTAAGATCCTTATATCCATGAAAAGGTAACGAGAAGCTCCACACTTTTATCAACTCATACTTGCCTTAAAATTTCCCGAACAAAAATCCAATTTCCATAAAAGCCCGAACTGACACTTTACCAAAATACCCCTTGGATCAAAAACACAAACCGAACACCCATATCATCTAAATTATGTCACCCATATCCAAATGGGTCCATATATCATTTCCTCAAAGGTCCTAAGCCTGATAATACCCGATCTTTGGTCACCACTCCGAAATAGGAAATGATTCGGGATAGGGCGTTACAACTCTCCCCCACTTAAATTAGATTTCGTCCTCGAAATCATTCCTTATCGTCCCAGGCATGCCAGACATCTTGAGCAACATGGACACAACCTTGAGCATACCACAACCTTCCCAAAGGCGACCGAAACCCACCTCGCCACAGTCTCTGTAGTCTGATGAATGTCTTGAAACTTCATCGCCAACTATTGTACCTCAATAGCTGGCACGAACTTAGCCCTAAACCAGGTCACAAACTCATACCACGTCATCGTCTCCAAGGCCTCGCCTCCCAAGGAAAAGTCTACATCGTCCCACTAATCTCGAGCTCTGTCTTTCAGAAGATAGAAAGCAAATCTGACCTTCAACCCCTCGGGGCAGAAACTCGTCATGAACGCGTTAGCCATATCTGCTAACCATCTCGTACTGGAAATGGGGTCATTCTCCCCAAAGAATTCGGGAGCTCCACAAGCACAAAACTCACGAAAGGAAAGAGTGCGAGCTCCAACAATCGCCAAAACCTCAGCACGGAACGTGCCCAAACGCTCATCCAAAATCTCCAAGATCCCCTCCTTGACCGTACCAAAAATCACAAGAGTCTGCTCCAAAATACTTCGAGTAATCTCCGACGAGATAAACTCCTGCATCTGCTCGATAATTGGCTCTGTACCTGCACCTGAGCCGAAACCAGAACCTGAACCTCCTTCCTAAGTGCTCATCACCATACTGAAAAACAACATGCAAATGATCAAAACATACCCAAGAATCCTCATCCCACAGGCTTCCTAGATTTTCCAAGACTCTCCCCGATTCGAGTATGGATCATGTGCTTTCAGAATTACGGGCACAATACTACCTTCCACACTTATCCATACTTTCCTCAAGAATCATCCCAAATCCTCTAAGTCATCTTCTCAAACCGATATCCAAATGCTCGCTACAGAGCGCAACCAACCCACTAAAAGCACTCCTTAGGCTCCCCTAGGTTCCCGACCCCACCCTGTCATCAGCTGCTGAAAGGCTCCCACCAATGTCAACCAACTACCCCATGAATATAGTCACATGCAACAGAGATAAGATAATCATTCGAGTAAAAGACTCATCCCTAGAAGGGTTGGACTCAAACACCTCATCAATGATTGTCCCACGTAAGATGTCAAGAGAAAAACCTAAAGAAATAATTCATAAGTACTGAATGAGTACAAAAACAAAAAAGACTTATTTTGAAACAAAAAAAATATCAAGGACTAAATGTGTACAAAAATATTAAGGACTAAATGTGTACAAAATGAGAAATATATTACCCTATTAAGTCATTTTTCCCGGCTAACCTGGAGTAACTGTCATAAGGACTGAATGTGTACAATTTAACAAGTTGAAGGGTGAAATGTGGACAAAAAAACTCAGTGACCAAATGTGTACAAATTG